TCTAAAATTTGTTCCAATTGCAAAAAAAAAAATAAAAATAAAAATAATAAAAAACTACCATACCGAATACCATTCATTTGGTTTTGTTTTGTATGGAAATTGTCAATAAAAGTGATGAATTTTTTTACCATTGGATTTAGAATTTTTTCTTATTAAAAAAAAGAAAAAACCTGGAAAATGAAAACCCACCTAAATGGTGGGAAAACAATTCCAACAAAAGGTGGAAAATGTAGAAAGTGAGAAAAAAATTTCCAGGTCAAATTAGCATGGAACTTAAAACATGAATTTTTTTTTTCAGAAAATAGATTCATAGAGGCCCTGATAACTAATAGGGTATTTTCAAATAATAAAGGAAAATTGCTATTCTAATCAAGATGGATATCCAATCCAGTACATTCTGTTTGCCACATGGCAGAAACTGATTCACTCCCTTGAATTCCTTGGACCTTCGCGGCTATTAGCCAAGAATTTCTTTCTGCTGCGTTCTAGAGGAACAGTGATTGAGACAGTGGAGATATGGCAGGAATTGCTTGCTGTTGCTTCTCAACACTCTCGTCTCGGAGGTAATTTAACATTGTAAAAGCCATTTTTAGCAAAGCTGACTCGACGGAAATTACATACACGATCTTACAATTTTGAATTTGATACTGCATCGAGATAATTTTATCTTTATCTCTCGCTTTTATTTGTTTTGTTTTCGGGGATGATGTGGTAGGAGATTGTTAGAACTTTATCAATTTACTGAATTTTTATAGTTAACACGGTAGATGATGATTTTGAATTTCTTTTATCTTTACATAAGTCCAAATTTGATGTACTAAATTCTGTGAATATAAAAGCATCTTTAACTTCGTTTAAATTATAGACGCACAACTTAAAATTGCACTTCCTGCTCTTAGAATTCCATCAATTCATGAAATCTCAATATTTATGATAAATTAAAAGGGAATAGAGATTGGAATTTAGTCATCAAACACATGGAAGTTAAAAATTAGGAATGTGGTTTCAGCAATTTGGGAACATCGTGGACTCATCGAGGAGGGATCGTGACAGGGAGACGACTACCTAGGCGAAATTTGGTGATTAAAGGAGAAGTCAATTATGTGAATGCTGAAGAAGCGAAGAAGCTCATAGCAGTTGAGGGATATGCAATTCTTGATGTTCGTGATAGAACTCAGTTTGAGCGAGCTCACATAAAAGATTGCTACCATGTCCCCCTTTTTATCGAAAACCAGGACAATGACTTTGGTATGTCTAGTTCGCTCTGCTAGCAGTTTTTCTGCCTTATTTTACTTGTCTTATTGTTTACTTGTATGTTTTGGACAGGAACCATAATAAAGAGGACCTTACACAACAATTTTTCGGGTTTATTCTATGGACTGCCTTTTACTAAACCAAATCCTGATTTTGTGCAATCTGTCAAGAGCCAATTTTCACCTGAAAGCAAGCTTTTACTTGTTTGTCAAGAAGGACTGAGGTATGTTTCTTGGTTGTTAGCATTGCTTCCGACTTGTTGTGGATTCTTGATGCAAGGGATTGGCACACTGCGCTAAAAAGTTAAAGCTTTTTAAGTGCAATACACCAGAATCAAGTCCGAGAATCCACCTCAAGCCCTTTACCTTTGGGCATTACCCCTTTCAAACATGCTCTTACATTACTTCTTGTATGTTTTTTAATTTATGCTATGTTTTACGGTTTTAAGGGCTCCTGCAGCTGCCGACAAATTAGAGAAAGCAGGTTATGGAAGCATAGCTTGCATAACATCAGGGCTCCAATCTGCAACACCTGGTAAATTTCTAATTCAATAGCCATATCTATTAGATTACACCAGGCCTAGTGCAATAATCAATTTGTATCCAGGGACGTTCGATTCTGTTGGTTCCACTGAGCTACAAAATGCAGGCAAGGCTGGTTTGGTTACCATTCAAGGCAAAATTTCTGCTGTTTTAGGGACTGTTCTCATCTGTAAGTGCTCAAAACACACCTGTGCTGTCAACTAATGTGTATCAAACATTTCCTAGATGTTTTCGCTTTCTTTTTCAATATGCGAATCATTTTGCTTGAATGGTGGACTTCTCAGGTGCATTTCTGTTCATTACTTTCTTCCCCGATCAAGCAGAAAAGATCCTCCAGATGGCCCCTTCAAGCTAAGCACCGCACACTTTGTACCAGGTTCTTTCCTGTGAATTGAAGGAATTCCAATTTTTTGCATCGAAAAGTTTAGATGGTTTGCAACCCCAACTGGGAAGGTGTAGAATACACAAAGATCTGTAGATGATGTAATTTGTGATCCAAAAAGAAAAAAATTGTGATCCAAAAAGAAAAAAACACAGTGAGATTACTCAGCAATTTATTTTGAAGTAACTATGCAAGAATATGAATATGATCTTTAGTTAATTCTACAATGCAATTGAGGACTAATTTTACATCTGAGCTTCTGTGCTGCATACTTCAGTTTTATAACTAGTCGCATTGGTTATGTTAAGCTGAAAATTGCATGCAATTATCAAGCTAGCAGTAAATGATACCTTGAAATAAAAATTTAAATTTTACATTATAACGGGGTCTACCAGCTCAATACCAAGCAACAATTATCATTTTTATCCTTTAAAATCCAGTACTCACGTCTTGCAAAATAGTTATGGAATAAAAGATGCTACGATGTTTCTTTTTCAAAAAATGGAATTAAAAGTGCAAAAATATGTTTCTAATTGCAATCTACACGATAGTTCAAAAGTCTGAACAGATTTGATGTAATTGGTTTGATAATATCAAAGTCCCAGCTGCCTCCAGAGTCAAAAACTAGCAAGATGAGCTTGAACTTGTTGAAGATCAATTCGAGGATAAAGCGGAATGTAAAACTTTGACCTCTATCACTCCAGTAATGGTACAGCATTTTTGCACTTATTCTTGTAAGCAGTATAGCTGCCGGATGTTTCCTGAAGCTATCAATTCATACAAACATGGTAGTTAGAATGCTTCAAATCGACTCGGTAATTATTCAGAAGGAAATAAAACTATGTCTACATCTTCCATATTACGAAGTTTCGTTGTTTTAGTTGATTATCGTATACATAAGCACCTGCATTTGACAATATGCAACGTATTTTGCGTGGAAGAGGGCTTAGAAAGTTGACTTAACTGCGGTGAATAACAAGCTCCTATGTCTTCACATACATTTAGAATTTGGGAGTAACCTAAATTCCTTGTTGAAGTAATTGAAATTTTTTAATTGAAGTGCACGTCAAGATGAATTCAAATTGGAATGCTATTGGAGTCTTATTCAAGTTGAAATTCTGTTTGGAAGCCCATTGAGAGTTTAGCTTGGAAAAGGACTCTGAGATGAAAATAACTTGGAGCGAAAAAAAAATGGGAAGGACAGAATGTCTGGCGTCGTGGTGCCGACACCCCTGCCTTTTTTTGCCCTGAGTCCCAGGACACGAGGATGGTGGTATATATATATATATATATATATATATGATAGTTGGGTCTCGGTGATTACTAGAACTTCAGCTCAATTGTATATTTCTCCATTATTATTCATGAGTCAATAAAATCTCCAAATTCTTCTGCCATATTTCTTGTCTTTTATTATTTTTTTTTGTTTACGATCATATACTTCATATTTTGCCATACAATTTCGATATTTCAATCCTGAATTACAGCAAGTGGATTGGAGAAATATATAATTTTTAGCAAGTGGTGTTATAGCAATCCCGTCGATCCTCAACAAGTGGTATTAGAGACAGGTTCAGCAGTTCCGCAGAACGCAAGGTTTGATTTGTTCAAGGTTTTTGTTCTTTATGACTTCCTTGAAGTAAGACATCCGCTTTTGGATTGGAGCACCAAATTCACGCCGTGGCAGGTTAAGGTGCGAACAGTACTCGTACAGATGGATTTGACAAGATGCCCGCAACTTTCACCTCGAAAGAGAAATTACAGGGGCCCAAAATCAACGAGCCCAAGCAAGTATCCATAACAAATAAATATTGAGTTCAAAGTGAGATTCCAGGTTTTATAAACAATTGCATAAGAAGGAAATGATTAATGACCATGAAGAATCATTATCACCCATTCAACGCGAAATCCATTCACTCCATAAGTACCAAAAATTTATTGTATTGATCTGGGTCTAGATGGGTAGCAGATTCAGCTTGCACATCTGAGACACCAGCTGGATGGGATAATGCATCATGTGAATCAACCATTCCAAGTGCCACGGGTACATCCCACCTGTTGATGCTAGGGTCAACGCCAACTTGATTCATGTGTTCCTCCAATTGTGAGTAAAATGTATTATATGTAACCACCTATAAAAAAACGAGAAAAGGGAAATATAAATGAAATTTTTCGTTGAACATGATAAAGAGAATACAAGTAGCAAAATAAATTCAGTGAAGTATGCGTACTTAAAACTAGGTTGGATACATGTAGTACAGAGATTAAGCAGAAACTTCACATGCTCTGGAAATGCGATAAATACCAGTAACATAAGCTGAATATTGCAAGTGATTAAGGAATGCTATCAAGAATCCTACAGGTACTTCTGAAGATTCATTTCTTCTTTTGAGGAGTACAAGTAGGACTGGGCACGAAAACCACAGCCCGAAAAATTGACCCGACCCAAACCGAAATGGGTCGGGTTGGGTCGGGTAGAATAAATTTAAAATAATTGTGGGTCGGGTCGAAACCAACCCAACCCACTAAACCCTATTGTTTCCTCACGAGTTCACCCATTGAAACCCTTTTGCAGGTGCCTTCTTCCTTCAACACTTACCTCCGACACTTTTCCACGATCTTTTAGCAGGGTAGGGACTCTCGACTTCGTCTTCACCGGAGCCAGAGCCCGACCGAACTCCAACAAAGCCGGCTTGTTAAGGTCGAAATCTCGGTGGTGGGTAACGGTGGATCCAACTCCTTCCGATGACATCACTGCACTATTACTGTCGGATCCTCCGTTTTTAATGGGTGCCCACCTTCATAACGGCCCCTTTTGTGACCCCCCAAGGCTAGTCTAGTGGGGAAGCACTTGTGGCAGATGGAGCACTCATGGATCCTCCCATGAGTTCCTTTTCTTTTGAGAGGAATAAAGATTTTGTGATACTAAATATTAATTGGTACTGCTTTATGGAAAAATTAAAATATCCACGTTTTCCTTCTTCATATTAAAATTTTTTACGTTCTTGAATTCAATTGAAGTGATTGAATTCTAAAAATGCGTGAATATATCTTTTTTGGTGGGCTAATTCAATGACATGTTTGTCTCTGCAGTTCTTGTTTTCATGCAAATCATAGATTATAATCTTAATTTTAATTGATTAGGGAAAATTACTTATTTCTTGTTTATGGTCATGGTCTTATCAAGCTTGTACACAAGAAGAGGTGAACAAAGTAATGGAAATGGCAAAAGTTGCACAAAAGGCAAGGGCAAAAACTCCGTTCTGGAAGCTTGTCGAGCTTCTTCACAAAGCAGCCGCTATACTGAAAGAGAACAAAGCCCCAATTGGAGAGTGTTTAGTGAAGGAAATTGCAAAACCAGCAAAGGATTCTGTTACTGAGGTAGCTATTAACTTCTACTAAGTTAAAATGCATATTGGTCCTGGAATATGACACAAAAAGGAGTTGGAGTAGTAGTAGCGGGTGAGTTTAGGGACTTCATTAAATTAGAAAAAATGTATACATTGGTCGGTTTGAAAAAAAAAAACTTGCTGGACCTATCTGACCCGATTCGAGTTGGGTTGATTTAGGGTAGGATTCGGGTCGGTTTGTGAAAGAATCTAAAACCGGGTATATCGGGTCGATTTGGGGCAAACCCGGCCCGACCTATTGCCTATCCCTAAGTACAAGGTGTGTAGGTCTTCGATTAATATTCCATGCATTTTGGAAGTATTACCACTTTCTTACATATTAACAGACTACAGAACTTGTAAGTAATAACCCATCCTACAGATAGAAGAAGTTAACCAATTAGTAAGTGGATTAACACCAAACTACAAAGAAATCGATAGATGAAGAATGGAAATTAAAATGAACAAATAATCCCCTTTCTATTCGGCTCAGAGATTCAATCCACAACACCACAAAGGGATACACCAAAGGTTGGAGATAATAGTAGAATCTCAGAGGCACACTAAGGTCGAAGAAGATTGCACACAAAGGCATAGATGGTTTTCACCTTCTTCCAAGAGGCACAAAGCAAAGTAATTTTGGTGTGTTGAAAACTGAGGCCAGAGACTCCAATTTATAGGTAGGAAGTAAAACTGAATTTTCAAGAGTTTCTCACAAAGATAGACTCCTCAAGATATGAAATTAGTTATCAAGGATAGAGATACAGAGGATAAGGATACCAAGTGCATCCAATATGTTCTTTAAGGTTATCTTCCAAAACGGGTATTGAGCACCAAACCCTAATGGGCTGATTTCCTCAAAACACCCAACACAATTGGGTTCCAACTCTATGTGGTGTGGATTAAATGATATTCTTCAATCATGGGCTTATAGCCTATGAAGTTAATGGGCCACTATTTTTCATCATTGCCTAGGGGTTATCTGGACATCACTAAAATACC